GATTCCGAGGTGGAAGTGGGAGGAAGTCACTATGGATTTCGTTACGGGATTGCCGAGGTCGTCTGAACATCATGACGCTATCTGGGTCGTGGTCGACAGATTGACCAAGGTTGCTCATTTCTTACCCGTTTCGATGAAGATGTCTTTGGACAAGTTGGCTGAGATATATACCCGTGGGATCATTCGACTCCACGGAGTGCCTGTCACTATTGTATCAGACAGAGATCCCAGATTCGTCAGTCGATTCTGGCTCAGCTTACATGAGGCGATGGGCACAAAGCTTGAGTTCAGTTCAGCCTACCATCCGGAGACGGACGGTCAGTCAGAGAGGACTATTCAGACACTCGAGGATATGCTTCGCGCCTTGGTTGTTGACAGGGGTGCTAAGTGGGAGTCACTGTTGTCGTACGCCAAGTTCGCGTATAACAACAACTATCATTCCTCCATTCAGATGGCTCCTTACGAAGCACTTTACGGTCGCAAGTGTCATTCCCCTCTCTATTGGGACGACGTAGGAGAGCGGCGAGTACTCGGTCCTAAGATGATCGAGGAGACAGCAGAGCAGGTCGAGTTGATCCGGCAGAGACTCAGGACAACTCAGAGTCGACAGAAATCTTCCGCCGATCATCATCGACGAGATATCCAATTCGAGGTTGGCGAGCCAGCCTTTCTCAGAGTACGTCCGATTCGCGGAATTGTGCGATTCGGAAAGAGAGGGAAGCTGCACCCTCGTTTCATCGGTCCGTTCGAGGTTCTCGAGCGAGTAGGCGAGGTCGCGTATCGTCTAGCCCTACCTCCCGAGTTGTCAGGCATTCATAATGTATTTCACGCATCAATGTTGCGTAAGTACGTGTGCGACCCCGATCATGTTATGCCTCATACGGATATTCAGGTTCAGCCAGATCTTACGTACGAGGAGCGACCGGTAGCTGTACTAGACCGTCAGGTTCGTCAGCTCCAGAAGCGAGATATTCCCCTTGTGCGTATTCAGTGGGATCGCCACGGAGCTACCTGGGAGGAAGAGTCCGACATTCGAGCTCGTTTCCCAGATTTCCAGTTTTGATGTACATATTTCTGTATCTTATGTACATAGTTCATGTATAGCAGTCATGATTTGAATTTCCGAGGACGGAAATCTTATAAGGAGGGAGGATTGTAATATCCCGATATTTTATCGGTATAAATTACGTTTTAGTTCCGATATAATAATGTTATCGTTTATTATCGTCGGAATTAATTAAGTTCAGACGAGATTACTGAAATTTATTTTCGACGTACCGTTTACGTCCGAAATAATTTTGGTAATTAAGCATTATGTTAATTAAGTAATTAAGCATAAATTGAGTGATTAATCATAATTAATCACTACCTTAGATCATAAAAGTCGTACTTAAGAGGCATTTTTTCCCAAAATTGTGCAATTGCCGTGACTTTCCTTCGGCCATAGGAAATGATTTTTCAACCAATCAAGATTAACCACTTGTCAAGCCAAGAGAATGCTTAGTCACACCAAAAGTCCATAAGAATCAAGCACATGTTAAGAGTGGGAGATGGCCACGCCATGTGCACATCATCACCATCCCACACGGCCATGAATATAAAAGGAAGACATTAGTTCAATTTTTCCCCATTTTTCCCATTAAGAGAGAACATCATCTTCAGCATATAATATCCCCTATAGCAGCCTTCAGAAGTTAGACATATTTCCAAATTTCCATCAAACGCACGGCCAAGAATAGCACCATCGCACGGCAAAGCTAGGTACCGCACGGAGTACGCGAGTGAAGAGGACACGCCTTATTCTCCAACTTCAGTCGAGCAATTCAATAGTTTGAGCACGCAGCAGCACTTCCTTTCAGTTCAGAAGTTCAGGTGGGGACTCAGACTACATACTACATTGATTATAATTACAGTACCATGTTTGAGGTATGTATTTCAGTTCAGTATCCGCTCGGAATGGTCGCCGGTCCATTCTGGGTTCTAGTGGCCCTAGTCTGCCCACTAGAGTGTGCACATGGTGTCCGGCTTTGCCGGCAGATGAGGTAACGGTCAGGGTCACTTTTGGGTGACGATTTCAGGGTCATGTTTGCATGACATTTTCAGGGTCACTTTTGAGTGACGATTTCAGTTTTACCGGCTTGAGGTTGAGGTTATATACTGATATCATGATGTTGTTATTATTTTCGATGTTTTACATTAGTATGAGTTTCCACGGAGCACAGTGCCTTAGTGCTCACTCCCCAGTTTTATTATGTTTTTCAGGTCAGGATGTCGGGCCGGGAGCGTGACGTGACGTGACGGGACTGCAGGATATTTATATATTTTGGACTGTATAAATATGATTTTGACTTACGCTTCCACTTATATTTTGATGACTTGTGATGGTGTTTTGATGTCTTTTGACGTACGTTTTTTACGAACTCATCACTTTGACAAACTTTTAAGAAAATTAAGTTTTCAGTAACCGGACGTTTTTACTAAAATTAAAACAACGGTTTTCTAAGTTAAGTCATGATTTTTAAAGGTAGCACCCCGAATCAGTTTTCGCAAAGTAAAAGAAATTATTTTTAAATGACTTTGCGAATTTTAGCGCACTCTGATTTTATAGTAAGGAGGGGTGTTACATTTAAGACTTAATATTTCTATAAAAATAACTTCATCATGCTGGGAGTAACATATAAAAATTTCAGGTATAAACAATGAACACATGAATTATGATAATTAATGCAAGTTTCAGCAGAATCCATAATTCAAATAAAAACCGAACCTAATGAATCCAATAAATCCTGGTATTTTTACATCATCAATTAAAATATTAAATAAGCATATAAACCAAGTTTCATGTATTTTTATCAAGGATTCAATTTTTTCGTGAATTTAACAAGTTTAAGCAGAAACAATCAATTAAACATTTAATGTAGCAAATGAATTCCAAAAATCATAAAAATTTTACGCAATGTAAATAAAAATCAAAGGAACAACATATCCAAATTGCAGAATTTTTGGACAACAATTCAATTTATCACGAATTATACAAATCACAGAAGCATCAATATAATCAAAAATCCATAACTCACAATATATAATTCCAAATGACCCAAGGTCAAGACTATTATGACCATGACACACATATGTTCTATATTCCAAGAGGTTTCCATGAGTTCAAGTCAGATCATAAGGGTTTCATATTTAAACCCTAAGATCTAATACATTAAAATATATAAATATCATATCTTATCATTTTAATTCAAATAATTCACATAATATCATATAATCAAACATAACACATATAAAACACATATTATATATGGAGTTTAGCAATATATACCAAACACCAAGGGGAGAATGACGAAGGAGGCACGGTCACGGCACGGGTTGGTCCTACGACGGGGAAATCGTCCGCTTGGCTTGCTCGGCGTCTAAGGGCGGCTCGTACGTTTAATATGAAGTCCTTCGGTGGCTCTTGAACGGACGTCGAACGTGTGAAGGGGCAGCGGTCATCTCGATGAGCTTGCGGGGCGTCGGCGTCGCTTGGGAGCGAGGCGTGCGTGCGGGTGCGGCGTTTGACAATGGCAGCGTGCGGTAGTTTTCTGCGAGTTTGGGGCGATAATCTCCGGTGAATTTCTAGCAAAAATATGAGAGGAAGGGAGAGTGAAGCTATGAAAATTTTGGAGAGAAAAAGAGAAGAAGGAGGGAAGAGATGAGAGAAAGAGAGTGAGAGAGAGAAGAAGGGGTGTCTTCCCTTTTAATGATTCTTAATTATTGTAACCTCCCAACTAAATTTGGTCAATGCTCTCTTTAAGATATAGAAAGTTACAAGATTAAATTCAAAAATTCAAAATCACTACTAGATGATTTGCATATATGGGGCTGGCCAAGAGGGAACCGGTTGGGGGCGCGGGCTGGTCTTCACATGCGTCGGGCGTGAGTCGTTGGTGAGAGATAGGCGCAGGGTTTTGAGACCCGGTTCGATGGTCGCGCGATCAATTTATAAATCCCGACTAGACTCGATGCTCAGTTCGATCGATAATTAATTTACATATAGTTCAGCTTGATAATAAATATAATTAATAATACAATTAGACCATTACGAGCACATACTCAAAATGAAATAATAATCGAGCATGAATAATAAAAAAATGGACAAAATAAAATAATTAATAATTCTGAAATAATCCGAAACAAATGGGGCACTACAAGAGAATCTTGTGCTTCATAAGTATGCCATAGAGAAGTGTCTCAAAGCGGCCGAAATCATCAAGAAGTACCAAGCTCAAAAGGAGAAGATAAAGTTGTTGGAGCATCGGTCAGCTGAACGTGAAAAGGAGATTATCTATCTCAGGGCTGAACTTAGATCTAAATGAAAAGCTCATTAAATCTGATCTAAATGAAAAGCTCGTCAACGTAGATCTCAAAAGATGCGAGTCATGAACGTAGATCTAAATGAAAAGCTCATCAAATCTAATCTTCACACTGGGAAGAAAGACAAGGATCTCAATAGTTGCCTTGCCAAACTTGCCTTGCTGGAACATGGCGACAAACTTAGCAAACAGGCAAGTGATGAACAAAATTTTAACATTGAATTCTTGCATAATGAGTTGTTTGTTGTGCAGAGTATTGTAGGTGAAAGAGAAACTGATATTTTTGTTCTCAAAGAAGAACTCGGTCGAGTGATGGAAGAACATATGACTCTTCGAAGTCATTGTTCAACCTTGGAAGAAAAACTCGGCAAAAGTGAGGAAATTATCAAACTGATCAACAAGCCAAAGTCGTCATTCGCTGAAGTTCAAAGACTGAGTCAACAGGTTGGCTCTTCTGACTAGAGTAAGAACCCCCTTAATAAGAAACTGAAAGGCAAGGTTGGTGAGCCAAGCACATCACGGAGTAAGTCTAATCTAACCTTTGTCAAAGAGGGGTACCTAATTGATGGTAAGAATGGTAAGCCAAATCCTACTAAAACTAATCATAAGAATTATGGTAAGAACTTTTTTCCTATTTGCCACTACTGCGAGATTCGTGGTCATATTCGTCCTAGGTGTTATAGAATGTAAAATAATACTTATACTGGTAGAATTGATGAATGGAGTCCACATGGTGTTCCTCTGAAGGCACCAAAACTAGAGGTAGATATAGTTACTCATGAACAGAAAAAGATTTGGGTTCCTAAATGGAGTAAGAACATGTGCATGTCTTCTATACTTGCTTTTAAATCCACCTCTAATTCTGATTGGTACTTTGATAGTGGTTGTTCTTGCCACATGATAGGTTTAAGGTCTAATTTAATAAATAGTTTGCCTGTTCCTTCTAGTATTGTAACCTTTGGTAATGGTGCTAAGAATAAAGTTCTTGGTAAACGGTGTTTGAACGTACCAGGGTTGCCCAAGCTTTAAAATGTTCTTCTTGTTCAAAATTTGAAAGCAAATCTGCTGAGTATAAGTTAGTTGTGTGATCAGGTTCTTTACGTGAACTTTACTAAATCCGAGTGTCTAGTTTATTATCAAGAGAGCAATCGTGTTCTTACGGGCACTAGGTCTAAGGATAACTGTTACCTAGTTGAACTTGAACTAAAATGTAATAAGGCTAGTTTCTGATCAGAAATTAGGACATATCAACTATCCTCACTTACTTGAATTATCTTCTGTAGATGTTGTTCGAGGATTGCCTAAGCTGAAGAAAGAAGAACATCGCGTATGCGGT